ATTTCAGATTTTCAGTTTTTGAGTTGAGTTTGACACAAAATGACGACTTGACATATGTACGCCTAGCTAGAATTAATTAAAGAAAAAAACTTCGTGACGCCATACGATAAAGTGCTTAGCATCTTAATTACTTCAGTTAGCATGGCAAGTCAACATGTCTGTCTGAAAAGTATCAATCAGATGAATGGCCCATGGGCGGGACGGTTTTTTTAGAAAAAAACATGGGCTGAGCTGGGCCGAGGTTGATAGTCTATGGGCTGGTTTTTATTGGCCCAACCCGACCCATTGAGACCTCTGATTCATTATCATAAAAGTTAACAAAATTCTCTCTTTATATTTTCATTTGTTGTTCGTCAAAGAGATATACTTGTTCATTATATATTATTTTTAAGTATAAAAGACCTCTTTTCTTTCCCGACCGAAAACCATTAATATGTAACTATAAAAAATCGAAAAAACATGAAACATTTTTACTGAAAAACATCACAATTTACACATTACTTTGTAGTTTTTGGAAAATAAGTTTTTCATAACAAAAAATTGAGACTTGCGATTATGGTGTTTTAAAAGTTGTTGGCACTACCAAACATACTATGACTGAGGAAAGGATGGGAGGCGAATTTTTGCCCTTGAGACTGCAAACTCTCCAACAAGAAAGTGTCTGTAAATTTACAGTCTATGACAACTTTCCCTCTAATGATCGAGATTCTCTGCCTTAAAACTTTCAAAAATTTTCTAACAAGCTATTATCTCGCATGAAGAAAAATAATTCAACCCGATCGGAAGAAGTAAAACCAAGGTCGTAAGCAAATTCGATGAATTTTGAAAATCGCTTCAAAAACTTTTGAAGGCCTACTTTTAAAAATGTATATTATTTGAATCTTGATTTTTCTAGGCTGAAATCTCGGATTGTACTGGTTCTCAATGGATAAGTGCATTTCGTAATGAAGCTGAAGCATTACTTGGTATTACTGCTGATGAATTTGGTAATCATAAACTTAATGTGAGTATGACTTTTTTTTTCATTATCTTTTAAGAAAATATATTCAATGATATTTTTTTTAGCAAAATGAAAATATTATCGATGATATTTTTCAAAAAGTAATGAATCGTGAACGAAATTTTAAACTTCGTGCTAAAGCTGACCAATATAATGTAATTAAATTTTATAAATAGAATAATAATAAAAATTAGTCATATTTGTTGTTCTTTCATTTAGGATGAACGAAGAATTCGATTTACTTGTATGCGTATTAGTGATATTGATTGGATATCGCATGGACGACGATTAATTAATGAAATCAATCAAATGGGGCCTATGCAACATTGATTAGATATTCTTCTTCTTATTTTTTTTTTCAATACATTGTCATTTATTGTACAGATAGATATACATTTATTAGTCTTGCAGATATTTTTTTTTTTTCATATGTAAAGGATAAAAAAGCGCATGATAATAAAGATATGAAATAAAAAGAAAACAAAAAACAAATAATATTATTCACATGCATCGAATAATAGAAGTCAAGAGAGTTTTTGTTCAATTGATTGCAGAAGAATTTTTGATAAGTCTTATTAATATGACATTGAAAAAAGTTATAAATACTTCTTAATCTGAGGATTCAAATGCTTACTTCTAAGCTTTCATCTCTTGCATTCTTTAATCACAATTGAAGATGTTCCGTCAATCTTGAGAAAGGATGGAAACAAGTAAGAATTCAAATTGTTAATAGTATCATAAGGTTTTAATCAGATTTTGAAATCTAAAAGCAATCAACGAGATAATGTATCGTATCATAGTAGCTTAAACTCAAAAATGAGTAGACAAAACAAACTACTAATACGGTATTCGAAATTAGAATTAAAAACTGACTTGACGTATGTATGATTTAACGAATTTTTGTGACTTTTTTTCGTTGAAAAACCAGATAAAAACTGAACTCAATGGAAACCCTGCGTTCTAACGG